TCTTCACTGAGAGGGTGGTCGGTCACTGGAACAGGCGTGGTCACGGCACCAAGCCTGTCAGAGTTCAAGGAGCGTCTGGATGAGGCTCTTAGTCATATGGTTTAGTTTTAGGTGGTCCTGTGAGGAGCAGGGAGCTGGACTCAATGATCCTGATGGGTCCCGTCCAACTGGAGATATTCTGTGATTCTGTGAACATATACAGTTCACTTGAAACCAACAAAATTTCTCTCTTGGCTACTTTTTCCAAGTATGAGTTCATTATCCCCCACTTAGGTGCCATAGTTCAAGAAAATTTTTACAACCTGCACAACTTAAAAGTTCTTGAAGCTGCTAATAATGATAAAAGTATATCAATCATTGCTGTGCAAAGCTGCTTTCTGTAGACAATTCTGTATTTTTAATTAAAGCTAAAAACATTTTCCTAGTTTGGATAATAATAAATATAGAGAGGAACAACACACTTGGTGTTTAAGTATTGTTTATTCAGAAATAAAAGATGTCACAGAACTTCTAAAGCATTATGTGTATATATACACACACACACACACTTCTAAAGATTATGTATATACAAGACAATGGTTATAGTATGTTCAAATTTTTCAGGTATTCAGAGATGCCAGGCTAGCCCAGTTTCACAGTTACATATATCAGGACAGTTAGTAAGTGTCGATGGAATACCACAGGACAAAAATAATTCCAAAGTGTATAGTTACAACCAGTCTGTTCTCTAGCAGCATACGCATTTACACACACAGATCTCAGAAGGACAGAAAGAGTATGTGGTTTGGAAGGAAAGAAGCAGCAGAATCTACTGTAGCAATTTACTTTACATTCACACCATATATACATACATGCACATATACACAGATATATTTATGTATTATTAAGCCCAAAATCACAGGAGAACAGTTGTGGCAATGCCATATTCTTGGCTCTGCAGGACAAAGTCATAAGAGCTTTCCCTCTTCCATCAACTGCAACTGTTTACACACTGCAGCTCTTTTCCTGTTGTGCTTCCACCAATTTGGGAACAGAGCCTGTCTCTAAACAGCCAACACCTTACGCCTTCCCTTATTAGTAACAGTAGCCTTAAAAACAGGTAGTGCTAGGCACTGAAAGATCACAAATCCCACATGAATCCCTTCGCCCGAGATCATTTACCATACTATAACTATTCCCTAAAGTAACTTTATGGAGTGAAACGTTTTTTTGCTTCAACATAATTTATGTTAAGTGTCACCCAGAAAGGGTGTTTCTTCTACTGTTTTTTCTTAAACATGGAAAATTTTCAGAAAAATACTTGGTGCAACTTCGTCTTTGTGTGAAGCTCTAAGAATTTGAATTTTAAGATTTCCCAGCCCTGAAAAGAACGGTGAGAGGTAGCAAACCCCAAGCCAGGCCATTCTCTTTCAAATACCTGGCAGGGATTTTATCTAAACAGGTTCTAAGCAAAAACAAAATATAAGGCAAACCGAGGTCACTGTTTTCTCAAATAATCAGACACCTAGTCTTTCACCAGTCTTCAGACCAAAGCACTTTGCAAGATGTGGGGAGAAGACTAGCACCGTAGCTCCACAAACTACAAAATGCAGCTTGGGGTTTTAGTGCTGGAGGGAATACAGCTTGAGGAAGGGGTGGACATTGGGCTGTTCAGAGGTCACTCCAGCCAGGAGCCAGGCAGAGCCCAGGGGGAGGAGAGGGCTTGCCCACTGCAGTGAGGAGGCAGCACCCCACCCTGGCTCAGCCCAGCAGCTCCTCCAGGCTCTGCAGTCTCTCAGGTGTTTTCCCAGAAGTCCTGCCACCCCCGCTCCTTGCAAACCAGCTCCCAACAGGTATTAGACAAGAAAAACGCTTGAAAGCCACTGGAGATGTCTTCTACTCCCTCACACATTTCATGGCAACATCAGGTTGGGAAGGAAACGAGTAAATAAATAAACCCACTAAAAATCTTCCAGGTCCTCTTTTCCTCAGAGAAGTGGACATCACCCCCTTTTTTCAACATTTGTAGCAGCTTCTATTTTACCACCTTGGTATTAACAGAAACACACCTCTTCCATCTCAGACACTGATGAGAAAGGCCAAAACCAGATTTCACTGTATATTTAAAGAAAGAGTGGATAACAATTTCTGGAAAAAGGTCATTGCACATACATCTAACTTTCAGAACCGATACAGCTACAAGTAAGCTGCAGCAGTGCCTGAAGCACAGGAATAAAAAAAGATAACCACTTCCTTTATCAAATGAGTCGGCACACAAGCATTTTGGGGTTTTGTTTTGGTTTGGGTTAATTTTTTTTTTAAAAGAGACATCTTGAAAGCTGGATGACATCTCCTTCACTACTAAGGGCTGACCCACCTGCCCACCTGACTAGTTATGAAGAAAGCAACTAAGAAAGCAAAACAAAATCATAGCTGGGTATTGAAACAGAGAGGGGCAAGACCAAGCAAGCAAAGGATCTGAAGAAGGTAACTTATCAATGCACAGCCATTCTTCAGTCCCAAAACTGACAACATGGAAAGTGGTGTGTTTCACTTAAAACATGAAGCACCGCCTCCTCTACTGTCAGGTATGATATGGTTAACTACCATAATACTTCTGGAATTGTTAACACAGCTGTTCCTTAGATGAAAAATTGTATCTGGCTATGGACTATGCAGGAATAAATGACAATATGTATCCAACCAAAACATTAAGAGGTTTCTTCTAGAAATCAAACTATTTCTGGAACCAAACACAATTTTGCCTTTTAGGTTTTACTTTTTTGTTGTATTTGATCTGTTTGGCAACTCTTTCATAAGACATAACACAGGCAACAGCAAAAATACCTGTGTCTGTAAGTAGACAGATTTCACTACCTGAACTACCCCAGTAAATGGCGCTTTTTTCCGGTTTTGGGGGTTTTTTTAAGTACTTTGGTGGGACACAGGCACTAACAGAATGAACACTATATGACTTGAAAAGGGGAAAATGTTGTGAGTCAATTATTCTTTTAAAATATTCAAGCTAACAAAATCCAGAATATTGTGCGAGCACATGACACATTACTCCAATGAACACAGAGGTACTAGCTTTTTCCAGGCAGGTAAAGAGATGGAGAAAGCTAGAGAAGCAATATAGTGAAATACAGCATTTTTGTAACTACACAACATAAAACGTTTGATGATTTACTGTGGGGTAGTAGCAAGATTTTGTTAAAAATAAAAGGAAAACTTACTGTTTTCCCCTTGTAACGTGGAAGCTATTTAGCACTTCTGAAGTTCATGAAGCGCGCTGTTTTAAAGTTGGACAAAAAATCGGAACAGAAGTCCCATTCCTCTAACCAAAGGTATGCGGTTTCAGGATGATTTAACAGTACTTTCACAGTTGTACCTCTACATGTTAAGTAATCCAATACTAAAATATAAGGAAAAAACCACCAATAAAGATGCATTTATTGATAACAGCTATGGTTTTGGTCTTAAAAAAACCTCGCTGCCTTTCAGCATTCGTTTCAGTTCGCTTATGGGCAAGACCTATTCCGCAGCGAGGCTGGAGAGCACCGTTCGATGGGGGCAACACAGGGACATGCCAAGGACTCCCCCTGGAGACCGCGACACAGATCTGCAGAAGCCGTAACTGCCTGTTAGAAAAGAGCTTTGAAGTCCACATAAAAATAACACCGAAGTCCCAGCCTTCGGGGCGCACAAGCCTTGCCCAGCAGGCCCGGCTGCCGCTCCGCT